TCTTAATATATTTAGATTTTTATAATGTACAGCGCTTCGAGTATATAATATAACCTATGCGCTTTATTTAAATGAATAAATTATTATTATTATTATTAATCATTATGCGAATCAGCATATTAAAATCTTAATTATCATTTGTCATGTCAACTTTGCACTATCCTTGGGATCTCTGAGTTCATTGTAGACTATTAAATTTCGGACAACATAGTGTATATACATAAGTAATTTAATCTTTTTATAACTTCCGGTTTGCATAATTTTTGGCTACTGGAAATTTATTTCATATTACTCCCTTCCAGAATGTTTGTTCAATAGTTGTATACTGTAGCATGTAATAGCGTATGAAGTGCCATGCTACTCGAAAAGAGTGTTTCCGCCTTGTACATTTTTGGTGAAAGTATTTTCGCTTATTCACCCTTTTTTTCCACTTTTTTCAGGTCGGTTGCGTTGGTGATAGAGGTTACCGTCGCCAAGGTTACCTCATGCAACATTTCCACGTCTTAATTGAACGTCTTCAAGCTATATATGGCACAGAGTACAAAATCACCCACTACATTGCATCGCAGCTACCTTCGGTGAAACCAACCATTCAAATAATTTCTTTGCAATCACTCCTAGATCCAGATTTTGTGAAGAAAAACATCACTGGAGTGTCCACGTTTTATGTCGCACCAAAAGACACTCGTAAAACCGACCCTGAAATGGCCAGAAAGCTTGGCTTGCTATCCCTTGTGAAACCTGAGATCCAGCAACAAGTGGACAGTCAGGCACATAAATCTAAATCCAAATCAGCGAGACTGCGAGATATCTCCAAATATGGCTCCCGAGAACAAAATTCATTCAAGATGTTATCGACATGGAAGATACCCGGTGCTTACGACCCTACCGCACACACTGCAGCTGCTGATTTCATGATTTCTTTAGCTCAAGATCCTAAGAAAATCTCAGAATTTCAAGAAAATCCTGGCAAGCTTTCCAATGAAGCAACTGGTATATTACCGTGGCAAACGAAATACTTAAGTAGTGGTAATCGCGCAATGGTTCGACTGGCAGTCAAACCTAACAGCAACAACGCTGCAAGAGCCGCGGCCATTGAACTGTTGACCAGTAATTCATTTTGTAAGTCGTATGCTGATGAAATGAAAAAGTATGTCCACGACCCAGATCTTGATACCAAGCTTACAGCGTTTCTGGAACTTCATGGCTTTAAAACTACTCCAGATGCAGTCCAAAATGCATTGCAAGAGCTCCGAGAGTCATCGCTGTTGCCATGGCGCCAAGTTTACCATACATCTGTTGGTATTCTGGAGATCCGATGCAAAAACGCAAACGACAAAGGTCAAGTTATCTGGAAAGATGCTCCTATTCAGAAATTCATGTTCAGCTCCAGTACGTTAACTTGGAATGCAGATACCGTGAACCAGTCCAGTGCAGTTCTGAAGTTTACAACCGAAGATGGCTTACCACTCTTCACCGGTAAACTGTGGGACAAGAATCAGCCGCAACCAGCTTCGCAAAATATCAATGGTGCCATTGAGAATTTCAAATCACCACTTTCTATTTGGCGGGGCAATTATCGCACAACAACTCTGGCCAAAGGATCTAAACGACAAGGAATACCCGGTCTTGAGATGGCAATTACATTCAGCAAAACCAACCCCGTGGGTACCGTGGAATGTGGAGGAAAACCTGTCGCTGATTTCAAATTCAAGAACAAGACGCTATCTTGGGCTTATGGCGAGATCACATTTTTTGCAAGTAAAGCGACTGCCAGCGAACCATCTGTAGAGAAGTTCTATGGTTATATCTGGAATGAAGGCGAAAGTAAACCCGCTGGTTATAATTTCTGGGGAACTAAAGATACCACATTCCTGCAACCTTGGTCCGGAAAATATGAAACTTTCATTGGTCCAGAAGGAAAAACCAAAGAAGGGGATGAATTGATTATCAACGGTGGCGTGAATCTAGAGAGCAGTACTGTACAATATGAAGGCAAGAATATCAAGAATTTCCAATTCAACAATCCTGTTCTATCATGGCAAGATGATGGAAAAAATGTCGAGTTTCGTTTTGAGGTGTTCAAAAACAAGAAGCTTGGTTTCGTAGGAAAGATGTGGTCAACCAACGATTCCAAACCATCCAACAACAACTTTGAAGGTCTCTTTGATTCCATATACCTAGATGCATGGCTTGGTTGCTATTACACGAAGAACGGAGCAGGACCGGGTAAAACAACGAACGGGCAACCTTTCTCAATTGTAAAGCAAGAAAACGACTATCTTATTACCTACAACGGAAATCTTATCAAAAGTTACCATTACGATAGTGCCAAAAGAAGTCTTCAATGGTCCACAAGTGGAAACAACTCAAACGGGTCCCTGCAGTTCTATATTCCACCCCCTGACAAAGAAACAGGTCTTCATTTCTTTGGAAAGGTGTGGGCTAACGGACAGCCTACTCCCAATGCAACCAACTTCTGGGGAAGCACAGTACCGTTTCCTGGAGCCGGCAGCTCTGGGAATGGGGAGCAGCAGTTGGTACAACTTGTTGAAAATCTCGTCACCATAGCCCTTATTGAGTTGCTCAAATATGCTTGGAAAAAGTTCAAGAAATGGTGGAAATCAAAAACAGACGGAAGCTCCAAGGAAGAACAAGATAAATTGAAGAAAGAATCTGAAGAAGCTGATGACAAAGCGGAGAATCAGGAAGAAAAAGTGAATGATCAAGAAGCAAAAACAGATGAACTTGATCCCGAGGTTGATCCTTCACCAGAACCACCTATCCCTCCAGACCCAGCCCCCGAGCCACCATCCAATGCTGTGGAAACTGACACGGATACGACAGATACCGATACTACCGACACTGACACCACTGAAACTGACACAGATACGGATGTCGATACAGATGTCGACGTGGATACCGATGTAGATATTGTTGTGGATATTTGTAGCTTAATGTAAGTATATTTAAATTTGGGAAGACAGCTTATTAAGCAAGATCTCAAAGTATTTTTTTTATGGTAGAAAGAACTCTGCGTTTTTATGGAAAGTCTGGTTTATCACCTGCAAAAAGTGAGATGAGCTTGTTCCATATGTAATGTATGCATTTGGGCAAGACGAAACAGTTTTATCTTTCTAAACGATTATCACGAAGACAAAAACGTTCTACAGAATTAAGGGCTAATTTCAGCATCCCTCTCCGTTAATTTAAGTATCAAAGTCCTTGTATGTACCTTTAGGCTTTACCGATTTAAAAGGAAACCTTCATCAAATGCTACTTCTACTACTGTTATACCTTATTTCTCCTTTATTTCTAATGACGGCCCGTATATTCTGCTCTTCCTTTCACGCTTGATTGGAGAGCCCATACACTTATTGTTCTTATTGTTACAGAATTAATCATTATGAACATATATATATATATATATATATATATATATATATATATATATATATATATATATATATATATATATATATATATATATATATATATATATATATATATATATATTGTAACCCAGAGGTCGCCGGTTCGAATCCGACTTAGTCCCAACTTTTCCTGTTCACTAAAAAATACTTTCCTACGGTGATTAACATATATAAAAATTATAAATGCCATATCGTGATGATTAACATATATACGGCTGAAGAAGACATGTTACTGTCGAAATGGTATACCAATTCGGCATGGCTTTGGTGAGTGGCCATGTGGGTGTGCAGGAATGGTTGTGACTGGTTGGGTTCGAATATACCATCGGGCTGATAGCTCAGTTGGTAGAGCGATGGGCTTGTAACCCAGAGGTCGCCGGTTCGAATCCGACTCAGTCTCAACTTTTCCTGTTCACTAAAAAATACTGACCTACGGTGATTAACATATATAAAAATTAGAAAAGCCATATCGTGATGATTAACATTCATAACAACAAAAATTATAAAAGCCATATCGTGATGATTAACATATATATATATATATATATATATATATATATATATATATATATATATATATATATATATATATATATATATATATATATATATATATATATATATATGTTATTTACCGGCTGGGAGGTCCGGATAGAAAAATATTTTGTCGAGGTCTCAAAAACGGGCCGAAGGCCGAGGGACGTTTTTGAGACCGAGACAAAATATTTTTCTATCCGGACCGACCTAAACGGTAAATAACGTATTTATTTTTTTGTCGAAGACTCAGAGGCAAGTGGCAACGGTTTTATTAGATTGCGCATATAGAAAAAACAATAAAATAATTTTGATATTTAATTATTTTACTTTAGAAAACAAATCATTAAAATTATTTCAAAATTACATATTCATATTTTTCAGTTTTAAAACAAACATACAAAAAATTTTTGCTTTGCTTCGGCCATTACGTATAGGATTCCGGACCGTGGTCAAATATCGTAAAATTCCGCCCGCTGCTGCAGCCAATCAGATTGCAGAAAACTCTAGGATTCCGCCCGCTGCTGATTTACAAAAAAATAAAATGTGTCATTTCTTTGCAGGTAAGAGATGATTAATGGGACTTCACAAAAGTATATTTTGAACTTACTCATCACCAGTCAATATAAACAGCGAACATTTGTAGAAGATTTTCATTTATTATTTGACTAATTATTGTGATTACAGCATGGATCATAAAAATACTGGATAGGAAACTCACGCATGATGTTGTCAGCATGCTGATGGTCTCAACCTTATTGAAAACTATATATGAATCACTAAATCCAAAATAATTTTACGATAATACAGCTGAACAACCATGCCATTCTACGATGAATATCAAAATATTGTTGTATGGTCATTTTCAGAGAACATATTAAGCATTAAACAATAAAATACACGTCACAAATTTCAAATTTATCAACAGTAGTTTTTGTGATGCCAATTTCCTGGCCACGAAAGTAAAAACCCTAAAACAAAGACAAACAACATTTACCTCTGAATGAAACCATTTTGAATCTCAATATATATGGCTACTTGAATGCGAAAAATATAGGAAAATTAAAGAAAAACGCAGTAAACTTTGCTATATTCATTGTATTCGTGATATCATGAATTTCAACTGAGGTCACGTCTGCTAGCGTCAGCTGTTTCCTATCCATTCTATTAACTATCCATGGTTAAAGTATGGCATGTTTCATTAATGAAAATGAAGATGATAGTCATTAACAATAGTATTGTAGACATACAAATTTAATTTGATCGAGAACCCAAGGTTTGGAGTCAATTTTAATTAACTTTACTATATAATCATTTTTCTGAGACTTTTAATTTTGCAAACTTTCATCATTATTTTGCATGCAATTATGAAGCAGTTTTTATCCTAAATATATGAAATGACTACGAACTGTTACGATATTTAAATAATTTTAGGCAGTTTTAAGATCATTATGTCTAGTTAGCTAGGTCAACTCTTTGCCCTAGATTATATAATTATATTGACCTTTCTTGATGTTTAATTAAGACGAAGCGAGGATTATGTACTATTTACAAGGCTTTGGACGCATCCAGGTTCAAATATTTATTGTACAAGCTTTCGACCACCAATCTGCAGTCGACAAGGGATATGATAACAGTTTACAATATGCATGTATGCATATCCGTCGGGGAAGGTACCTCCCCCCTCCCCCAAGTCAATCAATTTGCCCTCGCAGTCAAAGTCCATTTTCTCCTTTTCTCTAAAATATAAGCAAAACACTGGAAGAAAAATTGAATTTATAGAAGGGATCGAGGTTTGATACTCCAGTAATTGAACCTCGCTCTGTTAATCTTATGTCATGTCTTTTATCTTATGCGATGTCTTTTTCACAATGCTAAACATTGTGTTGTATTTATACCTTAGATTTTAAACATTTCCCGGTGGATAGCAACATTTTCTGGGAGAGAATCCTCAGACCCCCACGATTACATATCCCACGCAATCGCACGATCAAATGTTGACACTCAACACGAAGGATTATTCAACGCTTTTTTTCATTAGAAACTTTTCAGTAATAGTCCAAGTAAAAAAGCCCAGTCAATTTTTGTTTTGTTTTGGTCGTGCGGTTGCGTGGGATAGTCCACGTACTGGTTCCGCGAACATCCCGCATGCTACTGTAGGGAGCCTCCGTAATACGTAGTTAACTCGCGTGAGAGTGCTTCGATGTCAATATAGTATTTACAGCAACATTAACTTGCACAAAAAGGCAGTGGCGGCGCCAGGCCTCCAAATTTGGGGGGGGGGGGCATTTGGCGCCGCCACTGCAAAAAGGGCTCTTTGCATCACGAAAAAGGGCACTTTGAACAAATTGGGGGGGGGGGGACGTCACACATTTTACTTTGCTTCTTTGAATGAGAAAGGCAAACATAATTTTCGGCTTGTCAGAAACTGAAAGTGAAATTGTATTGTCAAGTAAACACACGTTAAAATGTTTTCTATATTAAATTGATTATAAATGTTTCCCATGAGAAGAAGCGAATTTGTAAAGCGAATTCAATGGCGTTCTCCTATTTTCCATCTACCGTGCATACAAATTTCCGCAGAAGGATACTTTTTTTCTGAAGGATACTTTTTTTCTGAATTATTGGGATATTGAAGGGCGAATATCTTTGTCTGGTTTTCGAATGAAAAAGGGAAACTGAAGCGTTTTATATTGACTTTATATTAAACAGAATGGTCGTTTCAGATTTTCCATCTACCGTGCACACAAAGCTGTACTTACTATACGCACGACCATAATTTCCCGCTTGTTAAGCCTGTTTTCCACTAGGCGGAATTTTGCGCGCGGAGAGCGGAATTTTTCATTGTCTTGTGATTTCTCGGGTGGAACTAATTAAAAAAGACAAAGAAAAATTCCGCTCCGCGCGCAAAATTCCGCCTAGTGGAAAACAGGCTTAAGGCTGATTTCCACTGTTGCGTTTTTCATACGTACGTATACGCACGTAAAACTTTAAATCCGTCTAAATGTTACTTATGGAATAACCAAATAAATAAAGCAACAGAATTTAGTGTTCCGCAAGTTTTAGTATGCATTTGTTATCTTATTTGTAAAATATTTAAAAAATTGAAGGATTCAAAGTTTTACGTGCGTGTACGTGCGTACGAAAAACGCAACACTGGAAATCAGCCTTTAGAACCTAAGTGAAATTCTTTGTCAGCTGAGAGTAAACACGCGATAAATTTTTTTCTATATTAAAGGATACGGCAATATATTTTTTTATTATTTCATTTTAAAGAACTTTTAAAATTATATGTTAAAGGTGATCTACAGTCCGATCTGCGCATATGCACAAAGGAGCCCACTTTTTATGATACAAACAGTTTAACTATGTTTTGGGTTCTTGAAAAGCCTGATTATTGTTTCTTGATCATTTATTATACTCTAGAAGCTTGAAAATATAAATAGTTGTCGAATAAAGCTCAATATTTTGGACACAAAAATGTAACTAACAAAGGCTTTGTTTACATACGGACTGTAGAGCACCTTTAATCCCCTTTACCGATTTTGCGTAACTTTATTATTTCTTGAAATATTTTGACTTAAAATAACATGCAATTGCTCCGATGGATAAAATTCTTGCATGACCCTGCTTATATGATGTCACATGCATATCCGCCAAAATCCAAGATGGCGGAAAGCTCGCTGATTTGTGATTTTTTCTGTTCAAATATCTCAAGAAATAATAAAGTTACGCAAAAATCGGTAAAAGAGATTAACATATAATTTTAAAAGTTCTTCCAATTCTTAAAAGTTCTTCCCGGAAACTGATTAAGCAGTTGCTCGCGCCATCTCACGTCATTGCGCGTGTTCCATAGCGTTTTATGTAAATTGCTGACGTCATTAGATCCATTTCAGAAAAACGACAATGCGCTATATCTCTCTATTTTGTCTGCATGGTGACCAGTGTTCAAATTTTGCATGCTGTGTTGCATCATGGATAATAAAATACATGGATAGGAAACTAGCTGACGTGACCTAATAAACTCAATGGGATGATGGCGTTGAAACCTAGTTGCAAACCAAATTCTCAAAAACGGCATGTTTAGCGATAATACAGCTAAACATTTTAGTCAAAGAGCAAATAAATATAACTAGGCCATTCTACGATGAAATCTCTAAGTATTCCCAGTCAATTTTAGCAAATATTTCAAGCACTAAACAGTGAAAAATGCATCGCAAATTTCGTAGCTACAAATGTTAAAAAAATACAAAACAAAGACGAAAAACATTTACCTTGAATACTTTGTCGTGGCTTTGTCATGTTTTTAAAACAATTAGACCAGTTTATGAAAATATGGCGAAACAACAAAAATGCTGAGAACTTTGGCAATGCGCGTGACGTCACAGATTGCAACTAGGTTTAGACTGTGACGTCAGCTAGTTTCCTAATTCCTATCCAGTTATTTTACAATCCATGGTTGCACCACTAAAAACTTTCATTATACAAAAAATAAAAAATTCTGTAATGCTAAAAACATTTTACCGAAGCCACATTTTCGCATTTTCCAAAAAAATGGCATTACAGAATTTTGTTGTATTTTGCTAATTGTTAGCTTTTCGTCGAAGTAAAATAATGCACGAAACAAAATTGGGGGTCACCATGCTTCTTTTCCAACTATACCAGACGAAAGGCCATTTTGGAGTTAATTTCGTACACGTATGTCGTCATAGCAACGAACTATCTGTTACTAAAACTAATATAATTTGAAAGTAGAGATATCAAAATATATAAAAACCCCAATATCTGGTGAATAAATCCTAAAAATGCGTAGTTTGAATATGTCAAAGTGTTGAACACCTGACATTTTGAAAACTGTATCGAGCCACTATAATTAATCGAATTACGCATTTTAAATATAAGAAAATCGTAATAAAGAGGAATTATAAAATAATATTATAAGATCTGCAAGTATTTATATTAAAATCAGCGGGAAGGAGTATATATGAAGACTGAGATGATGGGATTTGTGCTCTGGGACAATGGGATTTAGTCAAAATTGGGGCTGGGAAATGGGAATACGACCCCTCCTTCAGGACCCTCTATGAAGATTGCTTTGTCGATCGGATACCGATCGTCATGCAGTATTGGACATTTATGGATATAATTTATGGAGATAAATATTTCGAAACAATGGACCATTCCCCAATTAACCAAAATTTTGATCTCAACGAGTCTAGACAAAATTCCATCATAGCACGAAAGAGCATCACAAAATTAGTAATATTCCAAAGTTTCGTTGCGAAATGTTGTAAAATGCGGATAATACAGCCTTGCGAAATTTGCAATTTTCAGTCATTTTGTATTACGCACAGAAGTGGTAACCATTTCCCGTTTGTAATCTAAAATAACTGAAAATTGCAACTGACTTCGCAAGGCTATATTATCCGCATTTTACAACATTTTTCAACGAAACTTTGGAATATTACTATTTTTTTACTAAGCCTGAATGCGATTAAAACTATATGTATGTTTATGGCATCCAGGCAAAAATTAAGTGCTATTCCTGAAGAACCTAATATTGCTATCTCCGGAAACAAAATTGAAAGAGTTAGATCTTATAAGTGTTTAGGTTTAAAACTGGACGAGAGTTTGACATGGGAGCATCATGTTTCTACTATAATCTCCAAAGTCTCCAAGCCCAAGGTGATTGGAGTTCTACGAAGACTAAAACCATTGCTCCCACAGTCAACTCTTGTCATGATCTATAACTCTTTAGCACAGCCATGATTTGATTATTGTAGTATTGTCTGGGATAGCCTAACAAAGGTTACAGCGATTACAGAATAGGGCCGCAAGAATTATTACTGAATCTGATTATAACATCTGGTCATCAGATATTTTAACATCATTGAATTGGACCAACCTTGAAACCAGACGTACCCAACAGTTCAAAACTTTTATGTACAAGGGGGGCAAACTCAAATTTTGGGGGGCAAGA